ATTCATTTAACATATACTTGACTCATTTTGTTTATTAATTTAGTTATTTTTTTATTGCCAGAGGGTACATGTGCTCCCTAGAGATAGAGAGAGAGAGAGAATAAAAATCCCCTCTCCTAAGGCATGGTCACACTGCAATCCCTTTCCTCTATTTCTTCATCGCATCAGGATTTGGGGCTCTCACACACACTTGAGAAAATCATGCTGGGTGCATGTGAGTGCATGTCCAAAATTTTAGGAGGAGAATGGAGGAGAAGGAATTGTGGCATGGCCATCCTCCCAGGGGTGATTTCTTACTTTCTGTCTCACTGTCTGTCTCTGTCACTCTCTGGTAAGTGCACGTGTTCTATGGCAAAAACCGTTTATTGACAGAACGTTCGAAAACAGGCAACAATAATATAACAAGGGAAGGTGGTTATGTTTTGGGAAGAAAAAGAATAATAATCAGGAGGAACCAAGAGGGGGCTCTTGGCATTGGTGATATTCTCATTTTTGATTTGGGATAAAGTTATGTATGTTTACTGTGAGATAAGCGTCATGCTTATGATATATAAAAACAAAAACAAAAAAGAAATGAAAGTTCTATCATAGATTCCAAGACAAAAAAGTCTGGTTCACAGACAGAAGGTACATATTAATAGTACCTACCAAAGGTTGAGATCATGTTGAGAGAGAGAAAAAAAAAAAAAAAACAGTAAGGATAATACTCAAAGGGATAGTGTCCTGGCTTTGCCACTTAGAAGCTATCTCATCTTGGGCAAGTTAATTGGTCCTTTGATTCTTAATCTCCTAATCCATAAAATTGGGGAAATACTATTTATCACATAGGTTTCATGAGAATTAAGTAAGACATAGCATGCAAGGTGCTTAGCACAGTACTGCTGCTGTAGAGTGGACCTTACATTTGTCTATCGAGGATAACAGACAAAAGTATATGGTGCTTTAAGAACTTTTTTATTTAGTTTTGCTATAGGGTGTATGCACTGAGCAGATAAACACAGAGAGGGAAAGTAAGAAAACACCCTCCAGGAGGGGTGACCACACCACAATTCCTTCTCTTACACTCTCTTCTCAGGATTTTGGGCATGCACACACACACACCTGGTGTGATTCTCAAGCCTTTGGGTCATGACTCAAACCACGAAGTCAGCCATGTGGGATCCAGCTACCTTAACCTCCATGCCACCTAGTCCCTCAAGAACCTTGCTGTTTTCATTTTTGCCATAGGGCACATTTGCTTGCTGGAGAGACAGAGAGAGAGGGAGAGGGAAAATGAGAAGTCATCCCCGGGAGGGAATGGCCAAGCCACAATCTCTTCTTTCCATTTTCCTATTGGGATTTTGAGCAGGCACAAACATGCACTCAGTGTGATTTTCAAACCACCAGGCCTAGGACTTAAACCAAGTGGGAGTCCAGCACTTTAACAACCAAGCCACCTGCTGGCCCAGAACTTTGCTTTTTAAGAGTTACAGTTAGTTGTACATTTATGATAAATCCTCATGGCATCCTGATTTACAGGTTCATAATTAATTTCAACAAATAGGTCAGTATTAGTCCACATGGTGGAAAAACACTGTAGAAAAACACAATACACTAAATGTATAAATATGTCTTGCTAGGCAGTAAAAGGAAAATCAAGTACTCAATTGTAATTTCAAATACAACAGAATCCTTCACTTCAATGGTATTGAGGTACATCTCTCATTAATTTTTGTAAGAAAGTATATACTGTGGTTAAGTAAGACATAGCATGCAAGGCGCTTAGCACAGGACTGCTGCTGTAGAGTGGACCTTACATTTGTCTATCGAGGATAACAGACAAAAGTATATGGTGCTTTAAGACCTTTTTTATTTAGTTTTGCTATAGGGTGTATGCACTGAGCAGATAAACACAGAGAGGGAAAGTAAGAAAACACCCTCCAGGAGGGGTGACCACACCACAATTCCTTCTCTTACACTCTCTTCTCAGGATTTTGGGCATGCACACACACACACCTGGTGTGATTCTCAAGCCTTTGGGTCATGACTCAAACCACGAAGTCAGCCATGTGGGATCCAGCTACCTTAACCTCCATGCCACCTAGTCCCTCAAGAACCTTGCTGTTTTCATTTTTGCCATAGGGCACATTTGCTTGCTGGAGAGACAGAGAGAGAGGGAGAGGGAAAATGAGAAGTCATCCCCGGGAGGGAATGGCCAAGCCACAATCTCTTCTTTCCATTTTCCTATTGGGATTTTGAGCAGGCACAAACATGCACTCAGTGTGATTTTCAAACCACCAGGCCTAGGACTTAAACCAAGTGGGAGTCCAGCACTTTAACAACCAAGCCACCTGCTGGCCCAGAACTTTGCTTTTTAAGAGTTACAGTTAGTTGTACATTTATGATAAATCCTCATGGCATCCTGATTTACAGGTTCATAATTAATTTCAACAAATAGGTCAGTATTAGTCCACATGGTGGAAAAACACTGTAGAAAAACACAATACACTAAATGTATAAATATGTCTTGCTAGGCAGTAAAAGGAAAATCAAGTACTCAATTGTAATTTCAAATACAACAGAATCCTTCACTTCAATGGTATTGAGGTACATCTCTCATTAATTTTTGTAAGAAAGTATATACTGTGGAGACTTGTTCATCTTTGTGTCAAAAATGAATTAAACATAACTCTGAATAGTAATAAGTGCTGTAATGTTGTCTTCCTTTTTAATTTACATGTGCAGTAGTCTTTAATGATATAGTACATAACTCTTTCAGCCAATCCAAAGAGACCAAAAAAGATTCAATTATTCCCTAGATCTATAAGTGGTTACATATTTCCCTTATATATCAGAATTTCATTACTGCTGGAACAGATGGAGTCTACAGTAAAAGAGCTTATGATCAATAATCAACATGTCCAAGAGTCTGAGAGAAATGAATAAAAATACATTACATTTCATTATATATTGCCTCATTACTGCTAAGAAGGATACTGTCACCTAATAAACAAAACAAAACAAAAAATCTTCCTTCTAATAAAACGAGGAGTAAAAATATCAGTAAAGCTCTATATCAAAATAATGAAAATACAAGAGCTATAATTTAAATATCTGTAAATGACTTGAATTGGCATGATAATTTAAGAAATCATCAGGTATGTTGCTTGGTAGCTAATGTACATGGCAACCAAAATTTACATTCAGAAACTTCATGCACAGATCTTTCATTTCATGGCATAATGCCTAGCCAAAGTCCTTAAGGCTTTGTTCCTCCACAAGTCTACTCAATAAAAATATTACTTCTTGGAGAATTAACTAAACTGCCAATGAGAATGCAGTTGAACAGCCTCACTGTACTTCTTCATTGTCTTCTTTTTTACTCTTCTCTATACTTCATGTACAGTAATCACTAGAGTGCCAAAAGCATCAAGAAGCACAAAACTGAGATGTGTGGCTTTGAATATATTTGACGGGCATTAAGGGATTAAAACTAGGATGTTTGGGTTTTGATGTTAAATATTTTAAATTAAATTTGTTATATCACATTAAGAGAGATGGAACACTCTGCCTCTGTTTAGTAAATTCTCACTACATAAAACAAGAAAAATTCCCACTCTAGAAAATTCAAGCAACAAGAAAATACTTCCCCCCATGGAGTACTAAACAATAACATGAGAGCACAATATTAGTACTGAAAAAATCAAGTACCACGTTAAACAGCATTCTCCTTCTAAACACAAAACCCATTTCATATCATTGTATTACATCATATACCAAGTTAATAGTTACTCCAGGCACTGCAAATGACGTTTCTCAATTAATAAAGTCAATAAACTGAAAAAAAAATTCAATCACTCAGAATAAGCAAAAATGTGCTGCTGTGTGATAAATTAGGAATTAAATGGCAATATACATTGAAGTAAAAACAGTGGCAGAATAAAGATGATGTCTTTTGTTTTCCTCCCCCAAATAATTCTGGTGGCGCTGGATCATCAATACAAAGGAATAAAGAAGTTACCCCAGGTCTGGACTGAGCACCCTGTTTGTACCAACCACTGTCTAGCTACCACGGCTCCTTTTATGGCAGTTAGACCCTTACAAAGAAGTGATTCTTTGGTTGAACCAGTAATAACCTAGACTCAACATGGCAATGGGAGCTTTTAAATAACTTGAATAAATTTAATCCCTGGTAGCAGTCAGTGAAAATATCAAGACTAATTAATCAGTGTTATAGAAATACACTTTATAGGTATTGCAGATGAACCCCATAAAACTTGAGCATTCCTGTGTACTACTGTTTTTCTCCATGTTAAGATGACACTGAGATAAATGTCTGAACCAATATAAATATCTTTAAAAATTAAACTTCTATGCAGAACATGCCACATCGTTTACTTTAATTAGCTAAGATAATCATCAGGGGGGAAAAAATCCACTATGAAAACTAAGTCTAGGCACTTCCACTGGTTTATTTTTCAAGACTGACAAGAGTCAATCAAGAAACATTAGTTTCACTCTACTGATGGGGTGTTCTTACAGGGACAACTGGCCCAGCCTAAATTCATTTTGTAACTGGAGCCTGTGGCTCCCCTCCCCCCTACTCCAAAATATACGTTTCCCTTAGAAGGTCTGGAAGTAGGAATCTCCAGACTGAAGGGGCTGCACCCAGCAGAAGAAACCAAGACATTCATGGAATCATCATCACGCCTAACGCCACTCGGGGGCCAGCAGCACTGTGCCTTCTCGAAAAGCTCAAGATCCCGCTTTAAAAAAAAAAAAAAAAATGAGGGTGGAAGGCCGTGTTATCGGAGGGACGGAGTCAGAATGCCCAGGTGAGGCTGAGGTGGGCGAGTCCGAGCGATGGGGAAGCAGGAAACTGACGCAGCGAGGGCGGTCACCTGTGGGGCCACTTGATCCAGCCCCGCCCCCAGGGCCAGGAGCCAGAATCACAGTCGGAAACCCCCAAAGACGCCTGGAAAATGCAGAGATGGGCCCCATCAGCTCAGTCCGAAACTCACCGTCCACGGTTTTCTTCTTGAAGAGGGACGCCATGGTCTGAGACCGCGCCCTGACGGCCCAACTCGGCCCGGTCCCGCTCGCGACTCGGAAAGGACCGGAGGCAGAGGACAGGCCCTTGGAGGGGTCGGGAAGGCGAAGCGGAGAGGCTGGAAAGAGAGGGCGGGGTGGCCAGGCAGGACCCGCAAAGGGCGTGTATCCGCGAAGCTACCGCAGCAGCGTCGCCCGAAGCTCAGGTGACCGGGAACTAAGACACTTTTTGGAGAAGTCACTTCTAGGCGGCGCTTGCGCGGTTCTGCGCGCGCGCCTGCGCACTGCGGCACCTGAAGCCGCTGTTGATGCCCTCACCTCGGCAGCTGCCAGCTCTGTGGGTTTGCCGGGACTCCGCCGGGCGAGTGAGGGCTTGCGTGGCTAGTAAAGCTTTGGGGATGGCAGCTGGTGGCTGGGAGATTCTTTGTGAGAGTTCAGTGATGATTCTGAACAGAGATGAGCCTTACTTACGCTTTCTTCCTTGCCCCTGCGGATGCTGGAATTAGGGGTCCCCGGGGTTCTAGGACAAGGGTGGCTTGTCGTAGAACCGTCCACATCCACTCCGCGAAATGATTTATTACCGTCCCGTAGTTATCAGTACATGTTAATACTTTCTTACGAGGATAAATGCAGGAGCTAGTAGTCATGCCAAATCCAGTGCTCGTGGTTGCCCTCGCAATTCACACTCTCCATACTGGCTATCAGTGATCTCCGCAGCCCCCACCCACTCACCCCCTCCAGGACCCGAGGCCTTCGCCTGCCTCCCTGGATCCCAGCTCTGACGACCCGGTGTGGGTGTCCCGGGATCCGGTGTGTAGGAGTGAGGATGGCGCGGAGAGAAAGGGAAGTTTCATAATGCAACACTTTCTATTCAGTGTTCTTGGTTGGATGGGGGGAGGGGTGCATACATACATGTATGCCGATTTCAATGTCTAACTCTGTTTCTTGTAATCGCTCAAGAAAAATTTATGGCCATACTACTAACCTATTAGAATTCTACACAGCTGTATATTGGTATTTGATTAGGAAGAGGGAGCTCCATATCATGGTAAGGGAAAGCAAAATGAATTATTCAAAGAATTCTTGCGTGTACTAAGTATACACATAAAAAAAATCATGTGTGTACTTCTCTGTTTTACATATTATTTCACTGTTTAGAATCTTAATTTTTCTTTGACTCTTTAACTCTCCCAATCCACTGCTGCTTTAAGCAACACTGCCTTCCACAGGATAAAAATAAGAGCATCTTCCCCATAGATTGATTTCTGATTTGGAAGGCACGCCAGTAATAGTGCAATATTATCAGTCACTTCTGAACTTATAAATCATATCTCAAGAATTTTTAAGTGTTTGGGATAGTCATATTTACATCCCCCAGTGTTTTCCCTCATGAGATAGCAAAACCCTCATGGCATGGTTACTCCTGAAGCTGCTGCGAAAATTTAGTTGAGTCAGTTCAAGAAAATTTTCTCAGAATAGCATAGCAATCTACAAGGTATAATTGTCTTGCTCCTCAAGTTATTCTACCTATTGTGGGATGGTGAAGAAGGAAACATTAGGAAAAAATGTAAAGGAGGAAACTTAATCTCTGCACCCAAGGCCTGGTCTTTCCTGAAGCAAGCTCTGTAGCAAAGAGGCTGTTTGCACTGGCTGCCTGTTGTAATGAATGGCATCGAGCTGTGCTTGAATGCATGAGAGGCAATAAGCTGTTATGCGTGTAGTAATCGAACTCCTCCCTGCTGCAGTCACCCTTGTTTTATTACTCCTACACAATCCCCCCCACTGACCCAATTGTAACAGTTGGGAAAATGCCAAAATACTTAGCAGCAACCATATGGAAGACCCTCCAAAAGTGCACAGCGGGAGCTAAAGATGGGCCTTGTTCATTACAATAAAGACAAAATAGAAATATGTACTATTTAAACTCAGCATTCTAATAGCCTGATTCTGCTGTAGTTTGAAGTAGGCTGATATTCAGCTGGTGAGTACCAGTTTGCCATCTATTCTGATTACTTGGTGACCAAGCTGTACCCGTGCATATTTTGTATATCACTCCTTATTTGAAGGGCATGATACACTTAAATAGAGCCAGGATTTGGAACACCACATTGCTGTAGACTAGAATACAACAGTATTCATTAAAAAAAATTATTGCCAGAGGGTCTGTACACCTGCCAGAAAGAGAAAGCCAGAGAGATACAGACACAGAGACAGAGAAAGCAGCCCCCCATGGGGCATGGTGACCAGTAATTCTTTCTTCTGTTCTCCATCCTATTGATATTTTAAGCATGCAAGCCACTGGGACTGGGAGGTATTCATTAAAAAAAATTATTGCCAGAGGGTCTGTACACCTGCCAGAAAGAGAAAGCCAGAGAGATACAGACACAGAGACAGAGAAAGCAGCCCCCCATGGGGCATGGTGACCAGTAATTCTTTCTTCTGTTCTCCATCCTATTGATAATGGGTATGTCTAAGCCACTGGGACTGGGAGTCAAACCATGATCAGCCATATGGGATCTGCTTCTCTTAACCACTAGGCTACGGGGAGGTCCAGTATTCTTCACTTTTTAAAAATTACGATTATTGTAAACATAAGCACTTAAGAGAGTGAAAACATTTTAATTTAAGAAATAACAGTATTCTATGGTTGCATCATTGTGAATTAACACTCTTCATTCAAATTGCTCAGTGAAAACTGTGTATCACATACCTAATGGTACATACCATGTTACGTATTGGAGATAACAAGTGAAAATACGAAGTTTCTTTCCCCTTTTCTCTGACCTCCCTTCATACCAGTTTTTCCTCACTCACTTGTCTATAAAAGAGAAGTGAACTTTGGCACAATATAAGAGCTATTAAAGTCAGAGTTATTCTCAAATGTGATGGGTGCTACATGAGATAGTGAGTTCCTTTTCTCTTTAAAAGCTGAAGTAAATTTTAACTTAGGCCAAATGTCACGGTCTGAGAAGTTTTGCAACCTAAAGTGTTGGACCCACCCGACAGTGAATAGTTTTTGAGTTGGGGGGCGGGGATTAAAGAAAAGACAGGAAGACAGGATAGAAATGGGAGGACTGTTAGTCAATACTGGTCAGTATACACACTCTAGAGACTTTTGTGATGTAAGGTTTTAAGTCTTCACTGAATTTATTAGGTTGTTATAACAATATGTTGGAATATTTAGTTTAAAACAATTTTTAAGACATTTTGTTTATAATAATTTAGTCATTCAAGGCCATGTTTGGATAAAGACTCTGGTCTTATTTTGGTGGTTACGTCTTGAACATTTTTCACTATAGGGTGCGTGCGCTCACCAGACAGACAGAGAGAGACAGAGACAGAAAGTGAGAAATCACCCCCCAGGGGGGATGGTCACGCCGCAATCCCTTCTCCTCCATTCTCCTCTCGGGATCTTGGGCATGCACGTACACGCGCCCGGCGTGAGTTTTAAGCCACTAGGTCCGGGATTCGAACCGCGGTCGACTACGTGGGAGTCCAGCGACATAGCCATTACGCTAACTGCTTGTTCCCACGTCTTGTACATTTTTTACGTCTCCTTCTTGGCTCCCCACACTAAAGATAATATAACGAATTCATTTTTTTTTGTTTCACCTTTAATAATATGGTAAAGCTTACATGATACAGTATTTCACCTTTTGAATGATCCCAATTCAAGCCAATTTCATCTCGATTCCACATCATACCACTCTTATTTCCCTGCTTTGCTTTCAGCCTTACCTCTTCTGTTTTCGCCTCAACATAGCAGAGTCATCCTGTCAAACTGTGAGTCAGACTATGTTATTCTGTTTCTCAAGATGATTAACATACTCTCTATGCTTATGTCTGGACCGTGAATACCCCAATCCCTACACACACACACACACCCCTACCTACAGATTAAACTTTCGTTATTCATTCATTAAATGTCCAAATTTTTACCAACCAGGTTGCCCTCTTGATTATTTTCTTTCATTATGTGTTGCCCAGATGGATAATTGGTCAGATGTAATCTTAGAAATATGCAATCTATTTACCTCTCTTGTTCTGTATGATATCTCCTGATAGCATACTATGCAACTGTCTTGGCAGTTTTGACAATAGTGTTCTTTGAATCACACAAAACATCTGGTTAAGTAAAACTTTGGGCTTTTTTTTAAACATGACTTTTCATTCAATTCTTTCCATCCTATCCTGATAAAAATGAAGTCTTTTTTAGTTTTGGTTTTTATTAGATTTTTGCTATAGGGCACTTGCCATGGGGAAAGTGAGAAATCCGCCCCCTCCCACTGGGGGGGACAGCCATATCACAATCCTTCAATCCCTTCTCCACTTTCTTCTCAGGATTTAGGGCATGCATGCACATGCCCTGTGTTTTTCTAGTGTGTGTCTGGGACTTGAACCACAGTCGGCTATGTGGGAGATCCAGTGCTTTATCCATGGCACCTACTGGCTTTATTAGTGTATATAGTTTTAACCCAAATACAGAACTTTCATGCATTATCCAGAAACATTCATTCATCTTTGCATTTATTCACTTAACACTTTCAAGGCATTGTAGCTACCTATGAATTTACCTACATTAAGTCATCAAAATTTTATTAAACTTTCATTTTTAAGACTATTTTGAAGATGTTCATTTAAAAAAATGTGTATTTATTTATTCAAAGAGAGAGAAAGAGAAAAAGAGAGACACCCTCAAGAGGTTCTCCAAGCCTAGACTCACTCCCAGTCCCAGGTGACCATGGTTGCAGGTATGCTCGTACACAGTATTCACAAGAAGGCCTTAAGATCTCAAGTGTGGGGGACCTGGGGGGCATAGCAGTTAAGGTACTGGGTTCCCACATGGCCAGCCATGGTTCAAGTCCCAAAACAAACCAGGCGCACGCATGCCCAAAATCTCAAAGGGAGAATGAAGGAGAAGGGATTGTGGTGTGGCCACCCCCCTGGGGATGATTTCTCACTTTCTCTTCCTCTGTCTCTCTGGCAAGCAAAAATGTCTCTTAAAAACAAACAAACAAAAGATTTCAAGGCGGGGGGGGGGGGCGGGCAGCATTTGAATGGTGTTAAGGCACTGGTCTCCTTACATGGCTTAGAGCGATTCAAGTCCCAGAACTACTGTCTTAAAAATGATGCTGAACTCATGTGTGTGCATGCTTAAAATCCCAGGAGGAAAATGGAGGAAAAGAAATTGTGGAGTGACCCTCCCTCTAAGGGGATCATTTCTCACTTTCCCTTTCTCTGTCTGTCCCTCTCT